TTTGCTGGAATCAGAGACGAGCCGCCATTTTACTCACCATAGGTAACATTAACTGCACAATTATATCATGCGATCACCAGAAAAAGTATGATAACTTTATTATTTTTCGTCTCCGGTCCAAAAGTAGAGTATCGTTGAAGTTGTCTCGGTCCCCTGGGTTCAGATAGATACTCAAAGTCCCGAAATTCCATATAATAATTTCCTAGTTGTATTAATATTTTAAACCGTTTGATTTTTTGTTTTTTAATTGGTTGATGATTGATTCTATCAACTAATTTGTTGATTGTTTGATTGTATTAACTCGATTCTTTAGATATCGAAAATTAAATAAAGAACATTATGTTAATTTAAGCGTACAGAAACGTTGCTGTTGTTCCAGCAAAGATCTTATTTTCACTTTACCTAGTGCCTAGTAAGTAATTTGCAGATTACCTAGATACTCTGCACATTGCCTAGGTAATTTGAGAAATGGAGCAATTTTAGCAACTTTAACAGTCACCCTAGTTAATGTACACATTAACAACTTTCGAGCTCTAGCGGTAACATACATACTCATATCAATTTTAAACACACACAAATTGCATTTTTTGAGAAAATACTTGTAATCGAAAACAGTGCAACAATTTAGGGTATTGAAAACTATTGATTTTATATTTTATCTGAAGTAATTCTTGAACTAAGTCATTAAAATTTTTGATACTTTACTAAATCATTAATTTTAGTTTAATACATAGAAATATTTATTAAAATCTGGTTTCTATCAATGACAGAATTATTATTTGATCAATAATTCAACTAGTTTTTAATTTCTATTTAAGATGACTTGTAAAAACTCTTTTGACAGATGTAATCAAGTTTGGATATTTAAAGGTGTTAGTTTTTTATTTATAGGAGAATTAATTAGAAACTAAGTAATTATAGTATGATAATAGCCTGAGGTGACAGTTTGGATTTGTATATAAGAAAATTGGCAAAATACTAAATGAGCAATTATTTATTGTGACATTGTCAGGCTGCAATTTTTAATTTGTTTAATTTAATATATATGCTTATGACGTTAGTAGTATCTTGCCGCTGTACATTATTAACAGGAAAAATATGGAGTCTTGTCAGTCATCTATCTAACTCCGTTTGGGAGAAAATTTTTGAATTGAAGTAATGTGACTTCCAGGCGAACCTGAAGTTCGTGTATAGTTAATCGGGGCCTCCTGCATCTGGTCTCGAATTTTGTCTAACTCTGTTCTCGAGATTAAGGAAGGTCAGACAGTGGGAATTTATAGTACTACAATTTTGGAAAATTGCAGCCCAATGGTGAATGTTAATAATTATTATTAAAATTAATGTAATTGTTTATATAGGTGAAAAAATGTTGGAAAATAAATTGTTCCTTCAGTCAATTTTACAAAGCCCAAAACAAATATCTTTTATTTAAAATTGAAATGATAAGTCTGAATTGTCTATTAAACTGACCATGATGACAATTCTAGAGGAAATGGATCAAGTTAACTCTAATAGTTTTTTTTATTGGGATTTTTTCATGTTATTGTGGAGGTGTCTTTTTTGTCTTTTAATCATCATCTTCTTTGTAAAGAATAAAGATATTGCTTAACTAGAAACAGTGAATTAAACTCATTAACCTGTTACAATTGCAGCAATAAACAATTTTTCAAAAAGGTAATTATTGAAGCATTGAAAATTTAACATTTTTAATTGAACTGTCAAGTGTTGTTAACTTTTGAAATATTGATTGAATTCTTCAAATGGCTACTTATAGATGATCAGTATAGAAAAATTGAATTAAACTAAATGATGTTTTGCAAACAGAACTATTTTGGTTATTTTATATTTTGACTGTAGCTTTTACATATTTGAATGGCTCATTTTAAAAGTTCAAAATTAATTTTCTGAAAAAATCTTTGCCACAATCTTCTGATGTTAATGATGAATCTTGTATTTCATTAGCCACAACTTACTGATAAGAAAAGGTAATCACAAAAAAATAAATTTTAATATACTAAATATTTTATAATACTGCTAGATTAATTTTGCAATTTTTATAAATTAAAAATCATAGCTTAATAATAATATTTTATCCTATATATAATTTAGGCTATTGTTTTTATGTCAAATACTTTGTAAGAAATTGGGAGAGAATAGTAATCAATCTTGGCATTGGTTGTGTTTTCTTTGTAAACACAAATTATCTTTATTTTCTATAACTACTTCAATATACAGTAAAACTCCTATAAGTTGGATACACAAGGTTCCATAAAAATGTGTCCAGAATATAGAGAAGATGTAATAGCTCCTCTCTCTGATATCAACTGATTTGACAACATTCATCTATATGACCACAAATCACAACAATATATCAGATTGTCCAATATACGAATGTACAGGGTATCAAACGTATGTGGGATGCCATATGTGTATTTAATAGAACTTTGTCCATTCTATAAATAAATAAAAAGTCCAACTTGAAGGGTTTGACTGTATATATTGCATAATAACCATAAAATGAAATTTTTTCTTTCAGAAATTTAAGTAATTTTACGTATTTAAATTTTTTTTCAGTATAAATTTCAAGAAAAGTATCAACAGTATTATAAATTTTGTGTATTAATGGTGACCATCGCCAGTGGTATTCTTTTTCTTTTTCTTTGCAAGCTTATAACATATCCTTTTATTCTACACTGGAATTGTTCCAATAAGAAAGAAGAAAAATATTTTATGACGAACTTGAGACATTCACATACTTCATTTCATTTACTAATGGATTTTTTTGTATTGGATTTTTTAAATATTTACAACAAGAAAAATTTGTAACTACAACTTACTCTAACATACAAGTATTTAATTATAGTTATGAAAATATTACAGATTTTAAATGAACGTAACTGCAGTATTTTCTACCCAAACAAGAAAAAAAGGTTTCTAATTGAATTTTGAATTGCGTACATTTGAAATACAAAAATGATTGGTATCCATTTACAAGTATGAATTGTTTTCAATAAAATCTTTTAAAGAAGAAACCTAGATCAAAGGAAAAAGTATTAATCATCAATAGAAAGGAATGGATTTTTTTTGTGTTTAATTAAGCAGTTNGAACGTGCGTCCCCACTGTTTCCTTTCTTCTCTTTGCTGGAATCAGAGACGAGCCGCCATTTTATTCACCATAGTTAACATTATTCAACTGTGCTTACTTACTAGTGCAGTCTAAAGATTGGTGACACTTTGAATTTCATGGCAATTGGTTTTTGCGACAAGCGCACCTATTTGTGGCAAAGATCTTATTTTCACTTTACCGAGTGCCTAGTAGGTAATGTGCGGATTACCTAGGTAATTTGAGAAATGGAACAATTTTCACAACTTTAACGGATCACCCTAGTTAATCTGCAGATTAGCTAGGTAATGTACACATTAACGACTTTTGAGTTTTAGCAGTAACATATATATTATTCTTTAGAGAAGGAAGAAAGTATATTAAATGTTTATAAATTATTAAAATAATAGACTATATATATATATAGTCTATTATTTTAATAATTTATAAACATTTAATATACTTTCTTCCTTCTCTAAAGAATAATATATATGTTACTGCTAAAACTCAAAAGTCGTTAATGTGTACATTACCTAGCTAATCTGCAGATTAACTAGGGTGATCCGTTAAAGTTGTGAAAATTGTTCCATTTCTCAAATTACCTAGATAATGTGCAGAGTATCTAGGTAATCCGCACATTACCTACTAGACACTCGGTAAAGTGAAAATAAGATCTTTGCCACAAATAAATGTACCACAAATAGGTGTGCTTGTCGCAAAAACCAATTGCTATGAAATTCAAAGTGTCACCAATCTTTAGACTGCACTAATAAGTAAGCACAATTGGATAATGTTACCTATGGTGAGTAAAATGGCGGCTCGTCTCTGATTCCAGCAAAGAGAAGAAAGGAAACAGTGGGGACGCACGTTCAAACCTAACCTAACCTATTCTAATAATTTGGTTGGTAATAATTATGGTAATTTATTAGAATAGGTTAGGTTAGGTTAGAACGTGCGTCCCCACTGTTTCCTTTCTTCTCTTTGCTGGAATCAGAGACGAGCCGCCATTTTACTCACCATAGGTAACATTAACTGCACAATTATATCATGCGATCACCAGAAAAAGTATGATAACTTTATTATTTTTCGTCTCCGGTCCAAAAGTAGAGTATCGTTGAAGTTGTCTCGGTCCCCTGGGTTCAGATAGATACTCAAAGTCCCGAAATTCCATATAATAATTTCCTAGTTGTATTAATATTTTAAACCGTTTGATTTTTTGTTTTTTAATTGGTTGATGATTGATTCTATCAACTAATTTGTTGATTGTTTGATTGTATTAACTCGATTCTTTAGATATCGAAAATTAAATAAAGAACATTATGTTAATTTAAGCGTACAGAAACGTTGCTGTTGTTCCAGCAAAGATCTTATTTTCACTTTACCTAGTGCCTAGTAAGTAATTTGCAGATTACCTAGATACTCTGCACATTGCCTAGGTAATTTGAGAAATGGAGCAATTTTAGCAACTTTAACAGTCACCCTAGTTAATGTACACATTAACAACTTTCGAGCTCTAGCGGTAACATACATACTCATATCAATTTTAAACACACACAAATTGCATTTTTTGAGAAAATACTTGTAATCGAAAACAGTGCAACAATTTAGGGTATTGAAAACTATTGATTTTATATTTTATCTGAAGTAATTCTTGAACTAAGTCATTAAAATTTTTGATACTTTACTAAATCATTAATTTTAGTTTAATACATAGAAATATTTATTAAAATCTGGTTTCTATCAATGACAGAATTATTATTTGATCAATAATTCAACTAGTTTTTAATTTCTATTTAAGATGACTTGTAAAAACTCTTTTGACAGATGTAATCAAGTTTGGATATTTAAAGGTGTTAGTTTTTTATTTATAGGAGAATTAATTAGAAACTAAGTAATTATAGTATGATAATAGCCTGAGGTGACAGTTTGGATTTGTATATAAGAAAATTGGCAAAATACTAAATGAGCAATTATTTATTGTGACATTGTCAGGCTGCAATTTTTAATTTGTTTAATTTAATATATATGCTTATGACGTTAGTAGTATCTTGCCGCTGTACATTATTAACAGGAAAAATATGGAGTCTTGTCAGTCATCTATCTAACTCCGTTTGGGAGAAAATTTTTGAATTGAAGTAATGTGACTTCCAGGCGAACCTGAAGTTCGTGTATAGTTAATCGGGGCCTCCTGCATCTGGTCTCGAATTTTGTCTAACTCTGTTCTCGAGATTAAGGAAGGTCAGACAGTGGGAATTTATAGTACTACAATTTTGGAAAATTGCAGCCCAATGGTGAATGTTAATAATTATTATTAAAATTAATGTAATTGTTTATATAGGTGAAAAAATGTTGGAAAATAAATTGTTCCTTCAGTCAATTTTACAAAGCCCAAAACAAATATCTTTTATTTAAAATTGAAATGATAAGTCTGAATTGTCTATTAAACTGACCATGATGACAATTCTAGAGGAAATGGATCAAGTTAACTCTAATAGTTTTTTTTATTGGGATTTTTTCATGTTATTGTGGAGGTGTCTTTTTTGTCTTTTAATCATCATCTTCTTTGTAAAGAATAAAGATATTGCTTAACTAGAAACAGTGAATTAAACTCATTAACCTGTTACAATTGCAGCAATAAACAATTTTTCAAAAAGGTAATTATTGAAGCATTGAAAATTTAACATTTTTAATTGAACTGTCAAGTGTTGTTAACTTTTGAAATATTGATTGAATTCTTCAAATGGCTACTTATAGATGATCAGTATAGAAAAATTGAATTAAACTAAATGATGTTTTGCAAACAGAACTATTTTGGTTATTTTATATTTTGACTGTAGCTTTTACATATTTGAATGGCTCATTTTAAAAGTTCAAAATTAATTTTCTGAAAAAATCTTTGCCACAATCTTCTGATGTTAATGATGAATCTTGTATTTCATTAGCCACAACTTACTGATAAGAAAAGGTAATCACAAAAAAATAAATTTTAATATACTAAATATTTTATAATACTGCTAGATTAATTTTGCAATTTTTATAAATTAAAAATCATAGCTTAATAATAATATTTTATCCTATATATAATTTAGGCTATTGTTTTTATGTCAAATACTTTGTAAGAAATTGGGAGAGAATAGTAATCAATCTTGGCATTGGTTGTGTTTTCTTTGTAAACACAAATTATCTTTATTTTCTATAACTACTTCAATATACAGTAAAACTCCTATAAGTTGGATACACAAGGTTCCATAAAAATGTGTCCAGAATATAGAGAAGATGTAATAGCTCCTCTCTCTGATATCAACTGATTTGACAACATTCATCTATATGACCACAAATCACAACAATATATCAGATTGTCCAATATACGAATGTACAGGGTATCAAACGTATGTGGGATGCCATATGTGTATTTAATAGAACTTTGTCCATTCTATAAATAAATAAAAAGTCCAACTTGAAGGGTTTGACTGTATATATTGCATAATAACCATAAAATGAAATTTTTTCTTTCAGAAATTTAAGTAATTTTACGTATTTAAATTTTTTTTCAGTATAAATTTCAAGAAAAGTATCAACAGTATTATAAATTTTGTGTATTAATGGTGACCATCGCCAGTGGTATTCTTTTTCTTTTTCTTTGCAAGCTTATAACATATCCTTTTATTCTACACTGGAATTGTTCCAATAAGAAAGAAGAAAAATATTTTATGACGAACTTGAGACATTCACATACTTCATTTCATTTACTAATGGATTTTTTTGTATTGGATTTTTTAAATATTTACAACAAGAAAAATTTGTAACTACAACTTACTCTAACATACAAGTATTTAATTATAGTTATGAAAATATTACAGATTTTAAATGAACGTAACTGCAGTATTTTCTACCCAAACAAGAAAAAAAGGTTTCTAATTGAATTTTGAATTGCGTACATTTGAAATACAAAAATGATTGGTATCCATTTACAAGTATGAATTGTTTTCAATAAAATCTTTTAAAGAAGAAACCTAGATCAAAGGAAAAAGTATTAATCATCAATAGAAAGGAATGGATTTTTTTTGTGTTTAATTAAGCAGTTTCACCATATTACTTCTCACTTAAATACATTTTGCTGTTATCGCCATCATTTACGTTTACAGTCTCGACCGTCGACCGAATTATGTTTAACTGGTTAAACAGTGTCGTTTAATTTGATGGCAATATCTGTACATATGACAACAGTATTCGTTCTACGATGATTTCAAACATTTCGTGTAAATAATTAAATCATCCTTATAAGACGTGCAGTATGAAAGTGCTTGTATCATAGAAATTGAATTATCGTATTCTCTTATTTTAGAAGGAATGAAAATGTGAAAATTATGTATTGACGTTGTAATCTAATAAAATGTTTATTAAAAATGTTTTGCTTATTCTGTTCAAAATTATATTTAACTATTTATTTAATCTACAAGGTCTGTCCCAACAGTAAGTGTACTGATTTTTTATTTAATGACTGCTTAACACACCATTAATTGGTATTTTCACGATGCTAGATATCTTAGCAGCATGTCTAGAATTATTTGTGCATGTTTGACTAACACAGAGATTCAAGTTGATTGGTTAAGATAGTGTTTTAACATACAGTTATATTTGAAATGGAGAAAAATCTCTAACAAGGTTATACTATCAAGTTTTGTATGAAACTCAAGAAATCTGCAACCAATACATTTGCAGATTTAACCGAAACTTATGGAGATTCCACTATCGAGAAACATTGTGTTTAGACGGCACACAGATCCAGGGTAAAGATGATGCTTGTCGTTTTTTTTCAATAGCTGTGGAATTGTGCACAAAGACAGTTAATCAGGCCTTCTACAAAGATGTCTTGGAACGGCTTCGAAAACAGGTCAAGCAAGTTTACAGGAACATTGCAGAAGATTGGATGCTGCACCACGATAATTTGCCTGTTCACACAGCACTATCAATTCAAGAGTTTTTAGCAAAAAAAAATCCCAACAC